GGACTCGGTCCTTCAAGGGTACCCAAAGACATTCCACGGTCCACATGACTCCCTGTGAGCGAAATGTTCAATTTCATGCATCGGTCTGCTCCAAATTTTCTGTGCGGTCGTCTATTGGACGCCAAATCATTGTCTTTGGTCACCAAACATCAAATTGGGTCCTGACTGGACCACATGGTTCTTGGAGAGACCATCACTATGGCAATGCTGCGTGCTGCTAGTCCTCAAATGAAGTCCTCAATGGTCTTATCATATCTTTTCTTTCTACAGGCTTTTGTTGAAACCGATTATGGAGGATCATGATGACAGCCCCGTGGAGACCATTGACGTCTACCTTGAGCCTGACCCAGAAGATGAAGACGAGGGCCACAGAAGATCGGTGAAAAGGATCCGGCTGGACGAGAGCCCCGACGAGGACGGGGAAGACGACAGCCCCGAGGATGACGGAGACGACAGCGATTACTCTCCCCCGACGCACGGGAGGAACCTGAGGAGGCGTCGGCAGTATTACTGCGCGGAGTGCGAGAAGTGTTTCAAGCACAGCGCCGCCCTGGAAGCCCACCGCCGAATCCATAAGAACGATCAAGGCCACCCGTGCGACGTCTGCAACGCCCGTTTCTCTCTGAAGTCCGACCTCATGGTCCACCGCCGGCAGCACGTGCCGAACAACACCTTCGAAAGCCCGCAGACGAGCCGGACGCCTACCGAGAGCTCCAACTCGAGCTCCAGCAACAGCCCCCTGCTGGACGAGAAGCCTCACCAGTGCAACTACTGCGAGAAAAGGTTCCGGGACAAGTCCATCCTGGAAGCCCACCAGAGGATCCACACCGGAAAACTCGCCTACCCCTGCCCGGTGTGCGACGAGAGCTTCTCCAAGCCGGCCCTGCTGGCCGCTCACAGCAACATCCACCGGGAGGGCAAACCCTTCCACTGCGACCAGTGCGACAAGAAGTTCAACGACCAGTCGCTCCTGGTGGCCCACAAGAGGACCCACACCGGGGAGAAGCCTCAGAAGTGCAACCACTGCAACAAGTGGTTCCCCAACCGCAGCAGCCTGGACGCCCACGGCGAGTGCCACCTGAAACCCAAGCCGTACAAGTGCCGGCACTGCGAGAAGAGCTTCAACGACAAGTCCCTGCTCATCACCCACGAGGGGGTGCACACAGACACTAAGCCCTTCAAGTGCACCCAGTGCAGCGAGAGCTTCTTCCTGAAGACGCAGCTGATGGCTCACCAGGCCACGCACGCCCCCGACAAGCCCTTCCCGTGCAACCAGTGCGAGCGCAGCTTCAACAAAGAGGAGACCCTGCTGGCCCACATCCGGGTGCACAACATGCAGAACGCCGAGAAGCCGAAACCCGCCAATTAGTTTTTAAAAGGATTAGGAAGTTGACGACTTTTTACATTTTCGGGATCTGCCCCTTTTTTTTTTTTCCAACCTTCCGCCCGGAAACGTTTTATCGGCTTTACCGGAACACTTCTCTCTCGGTCGCTCGCTCTCGATCTTTTTTGTTTTTGTACGAGTGGTTTCATCGCCATTGCTCCATTTTACCCAAAGGGATTCTCTGCACACGTTTATATTGTGCGTACTCTCATGTATATATACCATGTGACCCGTTTAGAATGTAAACAAAAACAAAACCTTTTTTTTGTGAGGCGATCCATCTCTCCGTCTCTCTCTCTCTCGCACGTAGTCTTGGAAATTTCTGCATGCAAGTCACAGCAAGAACGTTGAACATCTTTTTGATTTCGATTTAGACTGAGAACAATGCGGGGGGAGGGGGTGCAACTTTCCGGAGATCCCAGGAACCCCCCCGGGCCCTTCGGAGGAGGGGGGCAGAGGGTTCGTGACGTCCCATCGCTCAGCGCGGGGAATAGACCGCTGTGCATACGTGTTACGATGTTAGCAGTTAGCGTGGTCCTGACTCAATGATACTTTTTAGTGGTTGGAAAAGGGTCCATTTTTTTTTTTTTTTTTTTTCTTTTTTTAATGTTTTAAAAAAAAAAAAAAAGTCATTTACAATCAATAAGAAATAAAAAGATAAAACTGACCCGCGCTGTGTGTGTGTTTGTGTGCGTTTCTCGGACAGCCAGCCGGCATGCAAAAGAAAACTTGTCTCACCGCTAAGGCCCGGTTCACACCTGGGCGTGTTGTAGCGCGTTCCTACGCTCTGCAAAACGCTCAAACACGGAAATCCCATTATTTCCTATGGGAATGGTTCACACCTGGGCGTATTACAGGCCGTATCAACGCACTACAAAACGCCCTACGCCCCAAAGAAGTACAGGAGCTTATTTGTGGCGTATTTGCAGCGCGTATCCATTGGGATACAGCCAGGTAGCCCTCGGAAACGTGCATCTGTCGGGCGTTTTTTTTAACCGCAAATAGCGGTAACTGCGCATATTCAATACGCCTAGGTGTGAACCCAGCCTAAGGTTAAAAACGGAGGTTTTACATACACGTCTTCTGCAGAACATGTGAAAGCCGCACAGCCGCGTCAAGACACCTCTTATAGTGCAGTCCTAACTCTAAACTAAGAGTCTCCATGTTGGAGCACATGGGGGCAAGAGATCAAATTGGGTGCAGGTTTGTCAGGAAGAAGCCCAACCTCCTTAAAGGCACAGGGACGCACAAGGGACACACAACGGCAGCTGAGACCCCCCCCGTGCGTCACTGCACCAAATCAGTTAAAAGGAGAACTATGAGGGGGAGGGGGGTGCTTCTCACTCCTCATAATTCTAGCCGACCTGTGACAATGAGACTGTCACAGGTCGGCTCAGTAGATCGGGAGGTGAGGGAACACATACCGGCGTTCGCTCACCTCTCGATCCTGTCACGACTCTGCCGTGACAGGGGAGGGGCTGGATTCCCCCGCTCCGATCCACCAGCGCTGACTGGCGGAACGGACGGGGGAGGGGGCGGGTACAGCTGGGTCTGCCTCTAGATAGGCGGAGCCAGCTGTCACTCACACAGCTGGGCGATCCAGACATAATTGTCGGGATCCGCTGCGGCGTCTCATTATACGGGGAGCTGTAGCTGGCGGTATACTGAGCTTAGGGGGACGGGAGGACGCTAGTTTGTGTCCTCCCGTTACCCTTAGGAGACCTATGGGGAAAAGCACTGACCCCGTAGTTCTCCTTTAAGCAAAACATGGCAAACGCACTCATCAATTCGTCACCAGCTCTAAGCGCGGTGCACATGGAATGGGCTTTATACCGTACCACAGCAAAAAGTTTTCCCGGCATGCAAAAAAACTAATTTCACCGCTAAGGTTAAAAATGGTTTTGGATACACGTCTTCTGCAGAACATGTGAAAGCCGCACAGCCGCGCCAAGGCACCTCTATATAGTGCGGTCCTAACTCTAAACCAGGGATGGCCAAACTCCAGCCCTCTAGCTATGGGTGGAACTACGAATCCCATGAGGCTTTGCAAGATTCTTGCAGCCACAGACATGACTCCCGGAGAGAGATGACTCGTGGGATTTGTAGTTTCACCCCACAGCTGGAGGGCCGGAGTTTGGCCACCCCTGCTGTAAACTATGAGAGTCCGTCTTGGAGCACATGGGGGCAGAAGATAAAATTGGGTGCAGGTTTGTCAGGAGGAAGCCCGACCTCCCTTAAAGGCACAGGGACGCACAAGGGACCCCCGCACATCACAACGGCAGCTGAGATCCCCCCCCCATGCGTCACTGCACCAAATCAGTCAAGCAAAACAAATGGCAAACGCACTCATCAACTCACAACCAGCTTTACAGCGCGGTGCACACGGAATGGGCTTCAAACAGCAGAACAGCAAAAAGTTTTCCCGGCACACTCGCCAGCCGGCATGCAAAAAAACTCGTCTCACCGCTGAGGTTAATAACAGAGGTTTGGATACACGTCTTCTGCAGAACATGTGAAAGCCGCACCGCCGCGCCAAGGCACCTCCTATATAGTGTGGTCCTGACTCTGAACAATGGGAGTCTCCATCTTGGAGCACATGGGGGCAAAAGATAAAATTGGGTGCAGGTTTGTCAGGAGCAAGCCCAACCTCCCTTAAAGGCACAGGGACGCACAAGGGACACACAACGGCAGCTGAGACACCCCCCAAAGCAAAACGGTTTCATCTCTCAGAAAGACGCGGTTTGTCTGTGGATGTTAGCGCCGGCCGTGACGGACATCTTCACAAACAAGGTAGAATGCATCCTTCATAGATAAGGGAATGGACATGACTTCCTTTCCAGCAGTGGAGGATGTTACCACCAGGGAAAGATGGCCGGGGGAGGTACTCGCAAAACTATCAGCCAATGCAAGCTGACGTAGGGGGGGGTTCCTTGATACTTCTAGCCAATCGAGATTGAGGTGGGCGGGGTGAATACTCGGCTTCATGCATTCCTACATTATATAGGTAAGAACATTTCTTTCTTTTCAGCGGTGGAGGAAGTTACCGGGCGACGCATGTCTAGGAAAGAAGACTCAAAAAAAGTGTTGGTGGAGGGGGACCCTGATGACTTGCCGTCTAGCTTCCTGATTGGCCAGCTTCCCGACTACTCTGGATGCTAGGCAACAAGTCGTTACACGCTAGCCGGGGGCAGCGGCTTCCTGATACCGGATGTTCGGGCCCGGCATCGGAGCATTTGGCCGAGTCCTCTCCCAAATACTCGGTACAGGTGCACCCCTAGTTTAGAAGGAAGATGTCTCCCCCCATTGTGCCGAGTCTCTTCCGGAACTTTGCCAGACTCCCCGCCCAGAATTCCCGGCCCAGAGATTGCAAATACACGACAGGCTGTCACGTGTCGGCCGCTTCATCTGACTTGTGTCTGCGCTTGTTGCTGATTGGTTTGATAGATTGTCCCTCAGAATTCTCTCTCTGGGCTCCCTCCCGATCACCTCGGCGGAGCCGTCTTCTCTGAGAGGCGGAGCCGTCATCTCTGAGGGACGGAGGCGTCATCTCTGCGGGGCGGAGCCGTCATCTCTGCGGGGCCGAGCCGTCATCTCTGAGGGACGGAGCCGTCTTCTCTGAGAGGCGGAGCCGTCATCTCTGCGAGGCGGAGCCGTCATCTCTGCGAGGCGGAGCCGTCATCTCTGCGAGGCGGAGCCGTCATCTCTGCGAGGCGGAGCCGTCATCTCTGCGAGGCGGAGCCGTCATCTCTGCGAGGCGGAGCCGTCATCTCTGCGAGGCGGAGCCGTCATCTCTGCGAGGCGGAGCCGTCATCTCTGCGAGGCGGAGCCGTCATCTCTGCGAGGCGGAGCCGTCATCTCTGCGAGGCGGAGCCGTCATCTCTGCGAGGCGGAGCCGTCATCTCTGCGAGGCGGAGCCGTCATCTCTGCGAGGCGGAGCCGTCATCTCTGCGAGGCGGAGCCGTCATCTCTGCGAGGCGGAGCCGTCATCTCTGCGAGGCGGAGCCGTCATCTCTGCGAGGCGGAGCCGTCATCTCTGCGAGGCGGAGCCGTCATCTCTGCGAGGCGGAGCCGTCATCTCTGCGAGGCGGAGCCGTCATCTCTGCGAGGCGGAGCCGTCATCTCTGCGAGGCGGAGCCGTCATCTCTGCGAGGCGGAGCCGTCATCTCTGCGAGGCGGAGCCGTCATCTCTGCGAGGCGGAGCCGTCATCTCTGCGAGGCGGAGCCGTCATCTCTGCGAGGCGGAGCCGTCATCTCTGCGAGGCGGAGCCGTCATCTCTGCGAGGCGGAGCCGTCATCTCTGCGAGGCGGAGCCGTCATCTCTGCGAGGCGGAGCCGTCATCTCTGCGAGGCGGAGCCGTCATCTCTGCGAGGCGGAGCCGTCATCTCTGCGAGGCGGAGCCGTCATCTCTGCGAGGCGGAGCCGTCATCTCTGCGAGGCGGAGCCGTCATCTCTGCGAGGCGGAGCCGTCATCTCTGCGAGGCGGAGCCGTCATCTCTGCGAGGCGGAGCCGTCATCTCTGCGAGGCGGAGCCGTCATCTCTGCGAGGCGGAGCCGTCATCTCTGCGAGGCGGAGCCGTCATCTCTGCGAGGCGGAGCCGTCATCTCTGCGAGGCGGAGCCGTCATCTCTGCGAGGCGGAGCCGTCATCTCTGCGAGGCGGAGCCGTCATCTCTGCGAGGCGGAGCCGTCATCTCTGCGAGGCGGAGCCGTCATCTCTGCGAGGCGGAGCCGTCATCTCTGCGAGGCGGAGCCGTCATCTCTGCGAGGCGGAGCCGTCATCTCTGCGAGGCGGAGCCGTCATCTCTGCGAGGCGGAGCCGTCATCTCTGCGAGGCGGAGCCGTCATCTCTGCGAGGCGGAGCCGTCATCTCTGCGAGGCGGAGCCGTCATCTCTGCGAGGCGGAGCCGTCATCTCTGCGAGGCGGAGCCGTCATCTCTGCGAGGCGGAGCCGTCATCTCTGCGAGGCGGAGCCGTCATCTCTGCGAGGCGGAGCCGTCATCTCTGCGAGGCGGAGCCGTCATCTCTGCGAGGCGGAGCCGTCATCTCTGCGAGGCGGAGCC